TATTAAATAAATTCCACAGACCCTCTCAGTACAGATTTAATTTATGAACATAATCCAACAGAGGTCTAAGTTGACATTACTGAGGCCTATATTATTAATATATTATATTATTAATATTATTGAGGTCTGATTTGTTTTTGGGTTCATGAGGTTTTGATTAAATCTCTTTGATTCCAGTGACCTGTCCAATTGGCTGGAAGAACTCAATAATAAATATAATAAGATTTGATAACAGTGAGTGGTGATTTCCACCACTGAAAAAAAAAAAAGACTTGTGGACTTCCTAGTTATGCTTCATGGACACCACTCTGAAAACCATTGCCTTACAATACATGTGATTGCATCATAAAACACTATGATATTTGCCAAGACTTTTAAAATAGGGTTGTTTTTTCTTTCAAGAAAAATGTAACAGAAAACTATCTGCATTATCCTGACTCTATTAAAGGTTAAGAGCAACCATAACACATCCATCCAACCTCCCAAATACTATTCCAGTTGTAGCAAAAAAGAAAAAAAAATTAGTGCTTCTCCTTTAGGTCTTTAGCTCAGTACTAAACACAGTGCATTGGCAATAACTATAATAACTGGCCTGAATGGGTTCAACCAGATTCAATTCAGTTTGCAGAGCTGTAAGAGCTTTTCATCTTTCTATATATTTCTCCCTAAAGGCCACTTGTGCATATTTATTTATTATTGGGCACTAGACAGTTGTAGTCAGTTTAACCAAGTGTACAAAACTACTGTGAAAGAAAACGGACACTATTTATTAAGGGGTTAAGTTTCCTGCCAACCAGGTTATTTGAAATGTCTCGTAGTAGGCTTTTGTCAAAACGTGTTCAAAATTATGACATAAATCCAGTTGCCTTGACCTACTCCTACTACTACACATGTAGAGTCTGCAGAAACTCCTTTGACCCGATGCAGTTTGGGGGAATTCTTTATGCTCTTGTTTGTTTAGGTACATGATTATCTTTATTTCCTTATCTTTTAAGAAATGTTGGTTGGCCTCCACCCTGACATCAGGGGAATTACAAGATGAAGGCACAGATTCAGTCTTTGCTCTGCTTATGAAGTGAAGATTCAGACTTTTTTTTAAAATTTGATCAGTGTACATCTCTCTCTAGAACTCTCTAGAGAGCTTCCCCATAATACTAATGACGTTCTGAGTTTTTGACTAGACTCATTGACTGACATTGTTTTATGGACACTTTAGATGCATCTTTACTTCTGTACCTGAATGTGACTCGATCCTTAAATAACAATGTTTTTTTTTTTGCTTATGAGAATTAGATACAGTAATTCAGAGTCTCTATTCAGCATTAATGTTGCCATGATAGAACTACCACTGGTGAGACAACTATCCAGTTTATATGAATCATGTTTATTTTCATTGTTTTTCTGTTTAAAAGGATTAACAAATAAAACTTGACTGAGTCAGCAAGCACACTAAAACAACCACATCAAAAAACTATATTCTTCCATTTTATTTTTTGCTTAAATATACAGACGGGATACATTTCCTGGTGTTCATCCTTCCAGTACGGTTCTAGAGACTTGCAGAATATATGACAAGAAGAATTGAAGCTGTTCTGGTGGCTCGTGGTGGCATAACACCTTACTTATATATATATAAAACCACTATTTCTATGACCACCACTTTGTGTTTTTATCCTCTTTATTACAGGTCGGGAAGTGTCTCGAAAGATTGGATCCAGATCTATGAGTTCGTGAGAAATCTCGTAGACCGATTTGTGAGGTAAGAAGTCCTTTATTTTTTCTATAAGAAAATTTGAAAATATATGTGAGATTAATTAATTGTAGTGCCTTATACTGTGAAGCCGAGTGCAAAATTCAGCTCATCTAACCACACATCCGGCTTGGAAAGGATTCTGAAAGGGGGAGGGGGATTTGAGATATGGAATAAACAAAAAAAAAGGCCTGATGAATGTTGAACTTACGTAACGTTGACTCAATGTATGTGCCAGTACAGACGGTAGCGACCTAGCCAGAAGAAAGCAGTCTGCTTGAGAAAATAGCAAAGGGAGCAGGTGGGAGTGGGTGGCAGGGAGGCTCAGTCTTCTGGGCTGCGAGAATGGCCATTTGCACCAAAACCTTCCAACGCCACACTTATCCCTCACACATAACGGGAGGAGAGGCAGAGAATGTACTTTAAGGAATGGCGCGCGAGAGTAGACCAGCACAGTCTGCTCTTGACTTTGACACTCTTCTGTTGCACCATGTGGAATCTGCTGGCCCTTTTCCTGTTCTTGCTCTCTCTCTCTCTCCCTCTCTCTCTCTCCCTCTCTCTTGTTGTTTCTTTGTTCAGTGTTAGATAGACCAGCTGTATCAAACGTTAATTAAATCATTAGTCCAAAGAGGATTTGCTAGGAGATCCCTAGTCGCCTCAGTATTGTACGATAGAAGTCTCAACAATTCTGCTGTGAGAGCGGATTTGGAGTCTGAACTCTGTGATGCAAGCTTAAACTTGCTTAACTTTACAGTACATTCACCAGCCATCTTCACATGTTTATGACTTAATCACACACTAAAATATTGAAAATGATGATTGATGGTTTTTGTCAGTAGAGGTTGCCTAGTTGAGCATATTGGCTCTGTTTTCATGAATAATCTCATGTGGGGGATGATTGCAGGTTGAATGTGTCAGCGAAGTGCGAAAAAGCGGCACCTCTCCTTATGCTCATGAGTCCTGAGACCTGACTAGCTGTGAGGTCTGAAACCCAACATGTTTCAGTGCTGTATTAGCTTTAGTGACAGAAGGTTGAGAGAAAGACCAACTGCTTGACGAGCTAGGTCAATAATCAGTAGTTTGTATGCAGAATGTTATAGTTTATTCTTGTCTATTTCTTATGTCAGGAAATACATCACATATAAAATGATTTAAGGAACAACATGAAGTTGTGGGCTTTATTTATGAGGTGCCACATATATATATATATATAAAAGCAGTCATGTGTTTTGGATGTGGTGCATGCAGGGTGAGTCACTCAACATGTTTTTGATTAATCACTTCCTTCTGAGGGAATTTTTACAACTATGTCACATCTTTTTATTAGATGGCCATATCGGCCTCTTATTCATAGTATAACTCTGTTGAGACTCACAGAATCTTAAGCTGTGTTTATGTGTTGACGTGACAGAGAGCTTTTTTTTTTTTTAATTATTTGTAGGCATACTGCTTAAATAATTATTACAGAATTGACAAAATGTTAGGCAATGTACAGTAATACATTTCTTGTAAACCCTTTGAACCATTCTGTTCTGTTTGGGTCACTTTGAAGTGGAGCAATATATGACTATTAATATAAACAATATATATATATATATATATATATATATATATAGATAGATAGATAAATAATTCAACTTAACCCTTATGTTCCTCAGGGCAAAATGATAAAATGATACATATATGTGTATGTATGTGTATATATATATATATATATATATACTCTTATGTTCCTCAGGGCAAAATTATATATACATATATGTATATATACATACATATATATATATATATATATATATATATATATATATATATATATATATATATATATATATATATAT